CTTCTCCCTGCAAGCTGGGATTAAAGGCACACATGCACCACCATGCCCCATTGTCTTAGGGTTCCTGTTATTGTGACAAAGCACCATGACCATAAGGCAAGGTGGGAAGGAAAGGGTTTATTTGGCTTACACTTCCACGTGGATGTTCATCATCTAAAGAAGCCAGCACAGGAACTCAAGCAAGGGCGAGAACCTGGAGGGAGGAGTTGAGACACAGTCCATGAAGGGAGCTCTTACTGGCTTGCTTCCCATGGCTTGGTTCAGCCTGCTTTCTTAGAGAACCCTGACCACCAACCCACGGATGGCACCACCTGCTGTGGGCTGGGCCCTCCCCATCTATCACTAATCGAGGAAATCCCCTGCAGCCTGATTTTATGCAAATGACTTAGCTTGTATCAAGTTGACATAAAACTAACTACCCAGCACATACATGAATTCTCTCTCTTACTATCTTGGTTTCTCTCCTTTCAGGGTGCTCCTCCCCCTCTCAAAATAAACTTTCCTTACATACAAAAAAAAAAAAAAAAAACTATCCAGCACACTACCAAAGTCCAGCTTGGTGAACCAATGAGGTTTGTTGAGGTTACAGGAGCAGAAACAACTGAAGAAGGCCGCAAACACCAAAAGCTCAGCATTGGTGACAGCTCTTGAAAGCTGGGATCATGGAGCACGCTTGTACAGCTGCAAGCAGCCCGACAGGTTGCAGAGTCCTCCAGGCAGCTCAGGTGGTCTGAGCCTCTTCAGGTCAACTTAACCAGTCTCAAGAGTGTGGTGGGCAGCCCAGCTCATCTCTGCTTCCTCCACACAGCTATGCTGACCTGAGCCTTTTTAGGCAGCTAGGCTTGTTTGAGCATCTCCGCGATCCTCATTGTTTATACCTCAGTAGGAAGGGGCTTCCGGGAGCCCTCGAGCAGGAGAGCACTTCCCCTGCTTATTACATCCTGTATCTTAATGTGCTTTCCCGCTGGGTGGCGCGTTGTTTCTCCTTTCCCTTAGACGTCCCACGTTGACCTGGAGGATTTAGAATGTCTGACTGTTCTGGTTTTCTTCTGAAGTCTCGTTGAAGTAAATTCCATGCTCCTCATTGCCCTGCCCTCGGGAGCGTCTCGTGCTGCCACAAAGGAGAGTTCTCATTTGTCACCCTAGGTGCTGTGGCAACTCTTAAAACAGGCGCGAGATTTGCCTCCTGGGTCTCCTGTGTGTCTGAGGGGTAGGGAGGCCGCAGCGGTGCTCCCGATTCCCTCCAGGAAAGACCCAGAGCCCTTAATCTCGGACTCCCCCTTTGCTTTAAAACTTATTTTGCCCTGGGTGGCAGAAGAAGTGTTGCCAGGGTGTGCCCCAGCCCTCACACATCCTCGGCTTTAACAAGCCAAGCCCTAGATGACTGTGCCCAGCCGCCGGCGATCGGCCCGCCCCTCCTCCCGGGCAGGCCACGCCTTCCCGAGGCTCCTTCCACGCAGCTCGGCCCGGGAGTCTCTGACCCAGTTCACCTGAGCCCCGCAAAGGGACATGGTGACACTGGCGGGGCCTGTGACCCGGCAAGACCGAGGGCTTCATGCGGAACGGAGAGCAGGCCCGGCCCAGAGCTCGAGGGCCTTTTCGGTCAGAAACAAGGCGGAGTTGCGACCGGTGAGAAGGGGACAGGGGTCGGTGAGCGCTCGGCGCGGCGGTGGCGGAG